CGCAGTGGGAGCGTGCTGGGCCCATAACCCAGAGGTTGATGGATCGAAACCATCCTCTGCTAACAGCATTTCAGTCTAGTACACTGCATTCAAATTGACACAGTGACATGGATTAAACCAACCCTGAATGGGTTAACGGAGTGATCAACAGAGTCATTTGAAATCAGTATGAGTCTTCTTGATAATGACTCCCTAGTAATGAGGTGTTAAGAGAGGAATTGTGCTCGCTAAAATGACAATAGTTCCGACAAATCATTCATTGTATGTCAGCCTACACTGAAGATGTTGGGAACAACAGACGACAACTTCAGAACACTAGAGCATTGTTCAATGCATTTGCTTCTGAGCACTATGCATAGTTTTTGCTTTGTGACATCAATGTATTGGTTTCCTGTTCCCCATACTCTCAGTGCATTCAAAGACTTACACAGATACATAGACCTGCACCTATAGACAGACACACAGACACACACAGACAGAGCCAACCGGAGCACACTGGCGCAAATCCTTGAAAATGAATAAGCCCACAGCAACTGAATGTTGAGGCCAGTTTCCGTGGTAACCAAGTCTGAGGCACGAAGACGAACCCAAGGTGAGCCACAGGGCTCTTGATCACCGTGGTAACAGTGGAGCCACATAGACACTCACTCACTCTGAAGCTGTGGTTCAGAACTCCAGACTGAAGTTCTTCAGTCAGCAAACTCTCCCTCGTCATTTCAAAATATTTGAGCAACAACTTTGTGCGAATCACACTCTAAAACACATGTACGTATCTGCACATTAAATGGCAGAGCTCCAGCTATTGATGTGACCAGTGGTTGAGGGCAGTTTGATTGGTTTTACTGTGCATGCAATGTGTTTGTCCTTTGATGCTCGTGTGCACTCACGCAGCTGGTCAAAGTGTGTCTGTAGGCCATCCGGTCCGGGGACTGAACACACCATACGGGCCTTCTGGAAGGTACTCCACTTGTTGACTAAACTCCTCTGGCCTCCAATGTCATTCTACACACACAAATAAAAAGAGTAATTTAATGAAGCAATTTCTACTTTCTGTCTACTTTAGGTCAATCATCACTCATTCTTTCTCATCCTCACAAACACAATCTACTTCACATTCAAAGAAGGCAGAAACATAGATCCCACTGGTTTATTTTATAGTTCTACTGTAATAATCTATGTGAAAACCAGGATGACTAGTCACCTGGTGGAAGCTAATGAGGATATAAATAAACATTAAAGAATATAAAGCCAATTGTAAAAATACTAAACGATAATTTTCAATGATTATGACCTACAATTACTTTTATTTTATAGTATCTCACAACTGAGATGCCCTATCAAAAATATTGCTGTTGCTATGTTCATGTAACACATTCATTGTTGATTAAACTGCCTATTATCTTGTCAAATGATTGATTATTATTGTCATTTGGTCTGTAAAACATTAGAAAAAAGGGAAAGATGAACATCATACTTTCCTAGAGCACAGGGTTATATCTTCAAACAGATTTGTTTTTTGTTCGGCCAACAGCCCAAAACTCAATCTAACTGTAATTCTGACAGAGGTGGCAAATCCTCAAATTGGAGAAGCTGTACCAATACTTTTTATTACATCCAAAGAAAAGTCATGAATCTCCTGTTGCAGACATACTGTAACTAATTTACACGTTTCATTTCGTATTTGTCAATGTTGCTTAAAAAAGGAATTAAACGATTAATTGATCATCCAAATAGTTGCCAATTTATTTTCTGTCAATTGATTAACTGATTAATTGTGGCAAAATGTGACTACTGATTGATGTTGGAAACACATACATGCACACATAGGCAGGAAAAAATATTTACGCAAACACACATACATGGTCATGATTGTTTACACATATCTACATTAAAAGGCAAACAGTACAAACATTCACAGCGTATCACAGTGGAGCAGAAGACACAGTGATAGCGACAAACATAAGCAGTCCCCTATACACAGACTTCAAAAAGCGCATCTATACAAGCTGGCAGGAACATCCAATCACACCGCTTTTTACGTAAACACACACCTCAACAGGCGCAGACACACGCACTGAACAGCACGTACATACTTTACTTGTTCAGGCAAACGCATATATTTACATAAACTACATGCAGACAGTTTCTGATATGAACAAACAAACACACAAACATGGCCTCTATCTGTCTCCAACAAACACACTTCATACCTTGCACACACGTGCCACTCTGGAGTAGAGCACCTTCCCAGCAGCCCCTTCTGCCTCTTGAGCGCGCTCAGTGAAAAACACGTAGACTTTATCATCTTCGGGGTTATCAGTTTCAGACAGCGGCGCTACCCGCACAAACTGGGCATCTGTAGAGAGAGCGAGAGACAGGGAGAGAAACAGACAGGTACAACTGAGTTTACAAACAGCAGAGAGAGTCAATATGTATCTTGTTGTTGTCAGCTGACAGACTGGCCTGATAAAACACCGACCGGGGGTGCAGGAGATGGTTTTACAGATGTTTAGTTTGAGCAAAAGACATTCAGTTTAATCCAGAATATTCAGTATATAAAATAAGTAAAATTGTTAAATGTATTATGACCAAAGAGAACACTTCACTTGAGAAATAGATGTAGAAAAAGAACAGATATGCGTTAAAGGAGTAGATGTTTGATAAATAATTCAAAGACTGTTAGCATGTCAGCTGTTAGCAGGTGTGGCAAATGTTTCATGTGGCACAACATGACTCACACGTGACAAAGAAGGCAATCAATAGAAATCCTGGGAAGCATACTAACTAAATAAAAGGTCATTTTAATGGTGTATTCTGGATGATAAATTACAATATTTGCTGATGAGAATACTTGGGACCAACCATCTCACGAATCTTACTAAAAGTCTGCACATAAGCAGACTTCTGTTGTGGCCTCCAACCACGGTGGTAACAGATCAGTTTTGAAAAGTAAGGATTTTTTTACTCCTCTTTGACCTTTCTTTGCACTCACCCTGCAGCCAGGTGGAGTCGTACTGCTCGCTGCGGATGACGTGACGGCTTCCAAGACTACGGAAGAAGGCGGAGTCCCGGCTCATGAAGTCTGAGGTGATCCCAGCATACAGCTCTCCATCTGCACAGGATAACGAAAGCTTTAGGTATTTTTAGGTAAGACAGAAAGGTTGTCCATCTGAAGTTTAGGTTTATTCCAAAATATTCTCACAATGGTTCATGCAATCTTTTTGTCAGATCCCCCCCGTGCCATGAAGTTTGTAACTCAGGCTTTCTATAAAAAAATTGTAGTCTCTTCCACTTCCACTGTCCCAAAACTTATTTCAACGACTCTGAAGTCAGTGTAAACCATCAAAAATTCTAAATCCTTTGACTTTGTTATAGTAATATATATTGGGTTTTTTCTCCTTCATAAAAACACACAATTCAAATGATAAGGAAATAAAAGATTGTATATTTATGGACTACAATAAATCTTGTCATTCGTAGTTTTAATAAGCTGCTTAGAAGTATTTTAAACAGGTCATACTTCCTTTTTTAATATCCGTTTATGTTGTTGTGAAAACATCTCCTTCAAACAACTGGATTTGTTCAAGTTTCTCACCAACACTACAATTTACAAGATTACATGAGAACACATGATAACGTCATAATTTACCTTCGCCCAATCCTCATTTTCACTGAACAGAGCCTGAACGCATCACAATGTAACTGAACAGACCTTCGTTCTCCTCGTGTCAATTTAAACAGTGATTGGTTGTTTACAATGTAACATTACAAGAGATCGGCGACTAGAAAAGCGGATGTTCTGATTGCATATTTGACTGAATATTGGCGGATAACGATCGTCAGTAAGACTTTATTTCACACTGTGGTGTTTAACGTTAAACTGTAAATAATCCGCGGTTCACATGCATGCCGAATGGCGAGGGGATCAACAGTGGTCAAATTAAATACTTAAGAAGAAAACTCATGATACTCCTATTGTAGACATACTGTAACTAATTTAGACATTTCCAGTGATTGTGTGTTGGGCTCTGAGCGCTGCCAAAACTCCTACACTCAATACTGCGCCTGAATGCATCCTGTGTAGACACAGATGGAGCACTGAAGCTGCTGACATGCTGCTGACACTACGACACAGTGTAAGTTTGTGTTACTCCTGCTAACCACCCATATTGAGAAAGAAATGTCGACATTATGTTGAGGTGGCGTTATGAGGGAAAAAATCCAATCCCTCAAACGAATCATAATATTAACAATGTAAGTAGTGTGCTGATCTTTCTTCAGGGGGTATCTTGCGGTACTGCAACAACAAACCCATATTTTTTGTTTAGTTTGTGTGATTAATTTGTCTCAGGTGAAACTGGCCATCCACACCAACCTAAAACCTCACAGACAAGCTATGGTTGTTGCTATGATGACTTATAATTCGTAGTTTATTTGAGTTGTGGTTTCGGAAAAACTTACCAACGACATCAGAGGCTGTTTTCTGAAACGGATCGTAGGGACATTTCCCTTTCCCACACTCTGTCTGGCTGTAGGAGAGAGTCTGGTGCTCTGACTGGCAAAGAAAACAGAGCCAAAGGTCAGAGAGAGAGAAAATCAGCTAGACAGAAGAAGACAAACAGGAGAAAACAAGTTGTTTGGGCAGACTGACAGGCTGTGACTCTTTAATTCATTCTTTGATTTTTTTAAATAATTGAATTCATCCTAACAAATAGGCAGAACGACTTTTTCAGCCAGCTGAACTAGCCTGCCACACACACGCACAGAGCAAGTGACTAATAGAGGGTAATCGGGCTAAGTGGTGGGATTAAAAAATGTGTGAAGTCCAGTCTTAAACCACTCAGCACCACCAGCTCCTCTAAGCACCACGGCTGATCCTCTCTGATCTCAGACACCCTTTTATGGTATTAGCTGGTCCCTGACACACATTCACGCACACACACCCAAATACGACTGCAGGAATGCACAACCCCCCCCCCCCCTCCCCCCCCCCCCCCCCCCCCCCTACACACATACACACACACACAACAGGGAATTTTAGAACCATTAACCTATTCCTGTCACAATGTGTCTAAATCATGAGACATGAACGATACGACTGATCAGAGTGGAATAAAGAAGATTTACATTCATATTATTTTTGACATAAACATGTCAACTAACAAATCGACAGTGTCCGGTGGCCCCCAGAGTGTAGTCTCAATGACAAAAGGTACATTGTATATACTATGGACAGATGGCACAGGGTGAACCCTGGTAGCTATATGGGCATAGGGGCAGACACCACACATGTATTTCAGCTGCTGATAGGCCTGCACATAGGGGCTGGGACTAGGAGTCCGTGTACAAACACAGGACGGTGGGTGGCAGGAGAAGCATTGCTTCATTATGGCAACTTTTATTGATACGATATAAATGAAAGATTGTCTGGGGGAATGCGACTCCTGAAATGAATGTGACGCAATCAGCTGGAGAAAAGACATATCACTCCTTTGGATTTCACACTTCCAGCTGGTTAAAGATTATTTGTGTGTGTATGTGTGCTTGCAATAATACCTGTAGGAAGACGCTGGTAGCTATGAAAGCACATCGGGGGTTGAAGGCTCCAGTGCCACAAACGTACAGGTGAGTCTGATTAAACGGCTGCAGAACTCGCAGGAAGTTAGCACACTCCAACTGGACAGAGAGACACACACGGAGGGACCACAGTGTGAGGAATAATGGAGTGTGTAAAGTATTTTGTGATATTGTTTTATTACATATATAAGGTAGTGGTTATTTCGTATAAATTGGTTGAATTTTTATCACCAAAAGTAACAACATAAGGAGCCAAGTTAAGATTTGTTGAAATAATATCATCAAAAACATGAACTGGATGTTTCTTGTTAGAATCTGTTGTGTATGTGAATAATGCAAGTTTAACTTTGACCCAAACTGACAGACGTTTTACACACAAAAGACATGAATATCCCTGGCTACATGGAAATTGAAAGTAAGATATGTTTGTTTGCTTTTCTTGAGTTCCCTGTCAAAGTCATTTTGTCATTTTGTCCTGTACGTGTCGTTTTGTTGTCTGAATAAAACTACCTCACCTGAATCTCGATATTCTCACCAGCATCAGAGCTCTCTGTGTTTATTGTTCCCAAATGAATCAGATTCAACTTTAGTTCTGCTCTAGATTGTAATCCATAATGCAACTTTATTGCTGCAGAACTCTTCAGACAGCATGACATTGCAGCACACGGTGAAGAAACGTTGTTAAACTTGAAATGACGTATGAGCCGCTGATCTATGTCTGTGTAGAATTCTGTGTAGATTAATTTTCTGTGACTTTTAAACAGTACAGTAGTTACAGTGGTATATGTTGCCTCGCTTATGTAATCTATGTGTGTGTTTATGTGTGTGTGTGTGTGTGTGTGTGAGTGTGTGTGTGTGTGTGAGAGAGAATGTGTTGACTCACCTCTGGATCCTTCCCAGCCATGAGACACTCTTGGACACGGTCTGGACTGGCTGGCCAGTATAGCTACAAAGAGCAAGAGACATAAAGAAAGCAGAGAGGGAGAGAAAGAGATTTAAAAACTTTATTACTGACTCTACATCACAGATGAAAGGCTTTTGGCATTGGCAGGTGCTTGACGAGGCAGCGAGGCAGGGAGACTCAGCAAAACATGACTAATCTAGATGAAAAAAGGCCGGAGGAGAAGAGGGAGGATTCAATACCTCTGGCGAGGCAGCTTCGGGGAGGAGAAAGTTAAAACCACCTGGCAGCACTGCTGAGTCCTTTTGATGAGTCAAGCTGTCAGAGCAGCAGTAATGGTGGCAGCATGACAAATTAATCTACCATTTGGCAGTTGACTACACTCTTTAGCTACAGTTACATGTGCACCATTATGCAACTAGTGCAATCAGTTTGGACAAAGCAATCAGTAGGTTTTCTTAGCAGCCCCCTGGGTACTGTAGATGTAAACCATAATAATGTTGTCATGCAGAAACATTTGTTTTTTAAAATATCATTTGTGTGGTTACACCTGTTCCAGTTTTACCAATTGGAAGTTTTTCTAGGACCTGAAGAAGAATCAGATTCTGTGCCTTTTACCTTAACAGAACAACACTCTGGCTAGGAAGCAACAAATATTGGCTGATTTGTTTTGATTAGGCAGTTTGCTTAAACAGAAGCCAAAATACTCATGGCCGCATGTCCTTTTCTGATCATCAGCCAGCCCACAGCCCAGTTCACGATACGTTGTGTTTCATTTTCTTCATAATGTATGTAGGCTCTATCTCTGCCATGTGCATCACTGCCCAATAAGACAATAAATGACATTGTTCCAAAAGAGAAAGAAATAAAAACCTCTGTTATGCAGAAATGAGGCGAGACATGGAACCCTGTCAAACGTATGGCTCGGGGGCAGATCTGGAGACGTCACCTATTTAAGTCTTTTGTGAAGGCATGAGACAGTTTTGTGTGTGAACAAAATCAATAGGTTGTTAAAAATCGAGTCGCAATTGCTTCGTGCCTGTTTAGGTTAGGTTTTGTGTGTGTTTGTGTGTGTGTGTGTGTTTTAAATGGCTTAGTTCAACCTCACCAGTGGATTAATTTAAACCTGAGGATATTCAGTATATAATATTTAAAACACACACAGTAGGTATCATTCCACTGCTTTCATGTCAAGCCATTAGGAAAGGAAATAATAGATGAGGCAACGATAATGAGAAAGAGAGAGAGAGAGAGAGAGAGAGAGAGAGAGAGAGAGAGAGAGAGAATAATGGCAGCTACATGACTAATCTAAATACTTCCTTGTGCCTGTCATTGCCTAAGAGACCACAGCGGGGAAGCTGAGATTGAAACAATTGGATAAGTGATCGTCCTCACTTATCTTTGCATATCCTATGAACTGCAAAGTTTATTGAAAAAATTAAGGAACTTAATGAACAAGAACTTATCACAAGTGTTATCACCATTGATAGTGATATAAATAAGACCTGTGCATCGATATTGGTCCTAGTAGACAAATCTCAAGCTGCTCAAATTTGTTTTAGCAAAAAGTCGGAATTTGCTTGAATAAAATGTGACACCAACTCTTCGTAAGTGAATACTGACAACTGCTGGTTGAAGGAAACAATTTCTTCTGGATGTCCAGTAATTGTTCCCTGATGTAGTCATACCCGCAGAGCCCTGTGCGGAGCCGAGGCGATCAGATTAGATTAGAGACCAAGTTGCCCCTTATCTAAAAAATACCACACACTGACAGGAACATGGACCACCACTAAAGGATTCTCACCAGGTAAAGACTTTGTTTAATGGAAATTGGACCCTCCGTGAAGAGCTTGCTGGTTGTCAGTTTATACGACATACAGGAATGTGGGTGTAGGCAGTATAGAAATCACTGGCAGAAAAAAAAGGAAAATTTGATGTTGAGAAATGACTAATATCTGTACTTTGGTAGAGAAAACCAGAGCTGAAAAGGAAAGAAAGAAAATGGAAACAAAAGAAGTAGCGTGGATGACTAAAGGACAAGTATGCAACAAGAAACCACAAACACACTCAAACCCTTGGTGACCCTTTGTGTAATGTGGGTTGCCAGCTGCAGACTCACACAGAAGGAATGCCTTGAGGGTTTCTGGCCTGATCAAAGAAAAGCGCGTCTGAAGGCAACGGCGTCACGTTCGTCACTCTGCCCTGAACTGGGATGGACCGGGGAACTGGTTACGTGTCCATCTCTCTGTGCCAAAATCAGTTTTATTGAAACAGCAAGAATGCGCATTTATACAAGTATGTGTGTTAGGTGTAAAACACGATAAAGAAATAAATGAAAAAAAGTAGGAATAAGTTTATCTTAAGCTGCACTGACAAGAAGCTCTGGATGTCAGTAGCAGAGGAAATAAACAGAAATGTAGAGAACACGGCACTGTGAGTGGTTTTAACACCACAAGGGTAAAAACTGCACACGAGCTGGAACAGTCTAAACAGACTATAAATACTGTATGCACAAATATATTACTTTACAGCCAGCATGGAGCTGAGTTATGAGTTGACTATGACTATCTATCCTTTTGTTGGCTGACTGCCTGGCTGAGTGGGTGGCTGGCCAGCTTGACTGCTGTCTGTCTGTCTCTCTGTCTGTCTGCGTGCCTGCTTGCCTATACCTGTTCGACTCTCTGATAGCTCGCGTGCTCGTCTGACAGATGAGGGTATTGATTTGATCCGACAGGGCGGAGTTATGAAAAGGAAGCGCTGTCGCCGTCCTTGCCGTGACCCTGAACTCGTCACCGTGTCTGTCTGGGTATAAAATGAAAGCTGCAGAAGGAACCCAGGTATACTGTAACAAACCTGTAATTTATATCTAATACCATCGATCATTGATGTATTGATTTATTGGTAGAACCAGATTTTATGTCCTTGTGTTACTTGCTGCAAATCTTGGATGGAGCTCCTGTGAATATGAATACTGCTTATACTGATGTTGGAAACGCTTTGTAAATTGCACCATTGGTGAGTAGGAGCATTGCAGGAATATAGTCTACAGCAGGAACTTGACCAGCTGCATCAAGACAGGTCAGAGCAGAGCAGGGGGTCTGCCTCAGGGTTTTAAGCTTCATATTATTGATGCCATGTGAAAACACTGGTCCTTAAAATGTTGATATACGCCTTAAAAAAAACTTGATTAATCCGACAGAATAGAAAAGGCAGAAGCACTCGCTGGTATAAGAAACCATTGACTACAGAAAATGTTTCTTTAACAGGCCGCACACATTTTGTTGTTGATGATTCGAAAATGTGGCGTGCAGGTGATCTGTCTCTGCCTTTGTTCATAAGTTGATCCAACCTCCAGCTGCTCTTCTTTAAAAGTCACTCTCCAGCGCCAACAAGGGTTCTGCTGCTCAGCAGTCAACGTGGACAGTGGTGGAGGTAGGAATGTGAGAAATGTGTCGAAATAATTTGTGGATAATCTAAACAGTACACGGTGACCGGGTCAAAAATAAAACCACATTTTGGAGATGTTTTATCAAACACTGCAGCTGTAATAGAGACATAGCTGGAACTGTAGGTGGAAAGATGAGCCAGAGGAAAATATTTTAATTCGACTTCACAAAACAGAAAACAGAAATTGAGGAAGAACAGATGTGTATTTCTGAAATAAGAGTTAATGATTAAAGACAGATAAGCGATCGGAGGGTGTGACTTTCCTCTTCCTCCTATCGTCACTAATTAGTCCCATCAAAGCACTGACACATTAGTTATCTGAATCTGCTGTCATTTGACTTGGAGTTTATGTGTGTATTATGTTTTTATCTCCAGGCCTTCATCAGCAATATCAACTTGAATGCTGTATGTTTGTATTTTACCTCGCCTGGAATGGTACGTGAATGTGTGTATGTGTCCTCCAGCTCTAACCTTGCGCGGGTTCTGCGTTATGTCGTCCAGACTGGTAGACAGCAGGTTATCTTTCATGGCCACGTAGAGGCGCCTCCTGTCTTCGTCAGGCAGCAGGGAGTGCAGGTCCCCGGCCACCAGGGGCAGCGTCAGCAGGCGGCCGTTCTGAATTAGCTCTGAAAGAGGAGAGGAAGACAAAATGAAGGATTTACATTCAGCGAAGAGGAATGTAAAAATGACAAATTGTGCTTTTACTGGGAATAATGAGGGTGCTCAGTTCAAGATAATGGACGCCGGACTCCATCGGGGAGAGTAGAGTCAAGTTTATAATGTTCTCAATGGGAAATTTGGTTTACACACAGTCATGGGTATAAGGAGCAATAATTAATGCACAAAATACACATGACACCCAATGCAAATATCTGTTTTGGTAACAGATGGTCCAGAGGTTTTGTGTCAGTTAAGAAGAAAATGTTTCAACAGACAAACAATAAGATAAACTGACATGTTGGTCAAAGACACAAACTTCCAGCAGTATCTATCACACAGACAATTGTCTGTTGTTTGTCTTGCCGCGGTATTTCTCTTATCACACTGAACACTCAAACTAAACAAAAGAAACTATAACATATCTTACGCAAATAACAAACACACACACACACACACACACACACACACAGTACCAGAACGACATCTCCAGACAGATTGTATGATAACGAGTGATTCTGAAAGCACAGATAACGAGCACGCAGCTTAACTGTTTTTTAAATGATTACACTGTTGCACCATGTAAACTATGAGAACTATGAGAAAATCGCACGTCCGTCTGTCTTGTGTTAACGTTCCTATTTGAACTGCCAAGTGTTCTTCAGTGGATTGGACTTGGCATCGGCTCGCGGAGCTAAAAGCATAAACATATAGGCTTTAAAGCAGCACCAGGCATGGCTTCACACGTTGGCAGCTCTAAATAGCAGTGAGAGGCAGAGACAGTGCTTATAAAACACAGTTTGAACTTTAAAAAGCAGCGGGGGGGGGCATATAATGTTGGTAAAATGCACATAGCATACTCCTGTTAAGCAACCTTCAGCGATGTTTTATACTAAATGATACCAAACGGACGAGAGGCAGATGAGTAACTTTTCCAATCTGAGTGTATAAATCAGGCCCCAAGGACAAACTGGATATATGGGATAATAACACAGCTTGCAATTAACATAAAATATTGCCCAGTGTAGCTTCAGCACATAGTATCGGTTCACTCAGGGGAAGATTTAAGGGAGTTATAAATGATTTATCATCTTTCACTGCGGCAGAAAACTCAGCTCGCTCTTATTAAAAGAGAGATCATTTATAGTTTTGTATCGTTGGGCATTCGTGTGCTTCTTCCTTTATTGGATGGATAAACCTCTTTAAACATACTTTAAGCTTCCTCAAGCAGCTGAATCTGAACTGACACTGAGATTATATAGAATAAAATCTGGTCAATATTACTTCGCTCTACCTCACTGAATTACACAGGAGGCAGTACAGTATGAGAAATTAATTGATTTTCTACCAGTGTCAAAACCAATTTTTGAAAGGATCAACAGCAATCGTAAACATGTGACAGACAGCTAATTAATGTGATCTTGTGTCTGTACAGACCTGGCTGTTGATGCATCTGTCTCTGATATAGTTCAAACCTGTTAAACTTCTTCTGGACTGATAAAATGTAAAAGATATTGTAGCCAACACTATCAAAGGGTTGCACAATACAAACGTAACAGTTCTTCTCACGGTACCTCTCCTTTTGTCCACCACATTTACAACCCAACAAACAAAAATCTACCTGTCAAAATACAAATCTCTTTGCTGACACATCGCTGTGGTTGCCCCTTATTCTATAAATAAGCCGCACAGCCTTTCCTCTCCAAACACATGGCAATTATCTTAACTACGGCTGACTCAAGCAGATGTGGGATCTAACAAAAAAAAGTAATGAATGACTCGCAATACCTTCAACACTCTGCTGTATCCGTTCTTTATATGCTACACGTCATGCTAGTTGGCATGTGGGTTGCATATAAAACAGAAAATGGCTTGAGAAGAGTTAAGAAAAGATGAAGAGACTTAAAGATGAATGAAGAGTGTTGAGGAGTGAACACCGAGAGGAAGAAAAAGAGAGATTGGCGGACGTGGGGAGAAGTGGGACACTGTTAAAGTGCCGGAGATCAATCCAAAAGACTGAGAAATAAATGAGAGGAGACTGCTGAGAAGAACCGTGAAATGATGACAGACTGGATATCAAATACAAAGAAAGATGAAGAGACGGGAAGAGACAGATGGTAAATTCACTGTGAACATACTTGTATCAGTTTGTTCAAATTAATACTCAAGAACAAGACCATTCAAACTCTGGTGGTATCAAATAACCACACTGCTGGGAAGGCCGGTATCTCTCCTCTTCTGAGATTAACTGTACCATAACCTAAAAGATGAGTCTGTTAAAAGGTCTAAATAGTACCAGCATCCTGCAGGCAAACAGTGCCGGTTGATTAACCGCTTAATCTTAAGCTATAACACTCTGGCCATGCAGGTGCTGCTTGTTCACTTCATTTCAGCTTCACACAGTCCCACAAATGTGGGTTTTCTCTCTTCAGTAACTAAAGATGCCACCAAGCGGTTCAGACATGTCTTCAGAAACCCCTGTGTAAAGTCACAGCAGGTGCTACAATCATGTATTACAGCCTGAGGTCGTTTCCTCGTGGGCTTGGTATGGTATGAGCTCCAGACAAAGAGAATGTGGAAAAGTCCATCATGCTTTGCTAAATTCACAGGAAATCGAATGTGATTTCTTTGAACCCGATCCAAATTCATCAAAATGCCGAACATGGTGGGATGACAAGTTTCCACAACTCTGCCCAATTAACAAGCTGCATGCTGGGAGCCCATGTGACCTTTGTTTACAGTTCATATCTGGCATTTAATTATGGGATCTGAACAGAACCGAATATTACAAGTCGGCTTTTCTTTTGGACTCAAGAAAACTTTGTTGAATAATTGCATTTAATTATATATTATATAACACTATTCATCTGTATTTTTCACTGTGCACACAAAGCACACAGTAATTGTGAGAGGGGGAAATAGGGAGGAGGAGGAGGGAGACAGGATGGGGAAAAAAATGACATGGCAATGTGACAACAAGATGAAAATGGTCTGATGGGTGAAGACAGCTGCGAGATGAGAATAGGCGAAATGTCAAAACATGACACGATGACAGACAGATGAGGAGAAAAGAGAGGGGGAGGAGGAGAGCAAAAGAGTGAAATAAATGTTGATGGAAGAAAAAATTAATGGATATTGACGGACGAGGATGAGCAGGAAGGGGAGGAATGGGAAGAGACAGGTGGAGATTTAGCAGGAAAGGTCGATGAGGGTAGAAGACGGAGCTCCTGGAAAAACCCATGTTGCGATGACAGGGCTGGGGGGGGGAGGGGCATTTGGGTGGATTGAGGAGGAAGTGGAACCAAGGGAGAAAGGAGTATGAAGGGGAAGAGTAGCAGAGAGTGTGAGGAGAAATTGTAGTGTAATAACAGAGTGAAGAACGATGGATGGACAGGTGGATTGAGGAGGAGGAGGAGGAGGAGAGGGATGAGAGAGCAGATTAAAAAAAGAGGCAAAAGTGAGAGGGAAAATAATATGATGACAGGGTGAGAAATGATGATTGGATGGATGACGGGTGAGGGAAGCAGCGGGGGAAGACAGAGCGGCTGTGGGAGAAGAGAGGAGTAGAAAAAAACGTCAGAGAAGAAGAGAAAAATTAAAGGCAGAGACATCAGGATGAAGAGGAGGAGGAAGAAAGACAGGCCGGTGCTGGAGACTGAGAGGAACCACAACATGCTGACAGTCAGTCGAAAAACACAAGAGATTGATGAGCAGCAAGGAAATGAGGAGAGAAAAAAAAAAGAGAGAGGAAGGCATGACTCGATGGAAATGAAGTGATAATCTGAAACAGGTAACAGTCACAGGAGGAGAAGAAAGGTCTGCACACTAAAGGCACATAGAGACCTATACTTTAGCTCAGTGGGAAATCTCTGCTGATTGGGGTACTTTGTTACATATTCAGCAAACGGGCAGAGAGGTAAGTTGTTCAGCCTCACACTGATTTGGGCGTCATTAATCCCAGTGGGTGCATCCACCACCAACATTTCTAATACATCTATAAAACCACGCAGTCGTTGCTGCCTTGAATTGTTTGTCTGCTCTTCGCTGCAGTGCACATGAAGCCTTTTGCTGCAGTATGTGCACTGTACTAACATCAGTGTCACACTGGTATCAGCATGGAATGGAAAACTTCTGATATTCCAAACTGACCTTTTCCACCACATTTTGACTTATCATAGCAGAAAAAGCAGAGCTAGCTATTAGCATTAATGATGCTCTGTTTGGTTTAGTAAGTGTCCAACAAACTGTTTTAATATTTGCATGACCAGCTGATGTGGGATTTACGACGACGACGCCCCCCCTCCCCTTATTTCTAAACATTATGTTGAAATGCAGAAAAATACAAATCAATCATTCCAACTTTGAAAACAGGCCATGTCCCCTTTGTTGTCAGTGGCCTCACAGTGTGTTCATGGGTTCCAGCTATTTGCATTCAAAGGCCATTTGGAGACGAGACGTTTCCGTCACCCTCTTCACAGGGAGTCTAACCCCGGTGGAATTCATGGCTTGCTCTGCCTACTAAAGCATCAGGCACTTCATCTGAATTACAGTCTGCGTGGCACAAGAGCAGCATGACCTCGCTTAATTCAATAAAAAAGGGAAAGGCTCAGCCTAACTGAATGTGAAACCACCTCTGCAGTGGAAACACCAGAGACATTCAGCGTCTGTTACCATCACGAGATGCTATTGGGTCAGACAGGCGGGAATCTGGTTTACATCCTCACTTTAGAGTGCCTTAAATCAGCATTATGGCAAAGAGGACGACACTCAGATGAAGAGAAGAGGGAACTGAGAGTGGCTTTGTAAACACACACACATACATACACACACACACACACACACACACACACACACATAACCCAATCTCACAACTTCTTCATCCTGCACACGCCATCACACATAAACAGAATTTTTGGAATCTTTGTCTGCTATCTTGACCTCACAACGATGAATGACCCTTATTCAGAAA